AAAAAAAAAAAAAAAAAACTTGCTTGAGCTTGATCTTCTTCCAAGCTAAGTTCTTTGCGAGTATATAATGAAAAATTGAAGAAAAAAGAAAGAAAAACGAAGAATGAAACTGGGTTTTCAAAACCGCGTGCAAAGAAGACGAGTTGGCTGAATTTTCACCATTTTCACATACGGCAAAGCAAAGATTTTTCTTTTCCCCATCATCGTCGTCTTGGAATTTTTAATGAAGGCTCTGCTCGAAAGTGACATTTGTCCATTTATCTCTATTTTTCTACATTGTATATTTGGAAGATGTTACGGTCCCGATCGGATTCGCCCGTTTGTCCCCAAAGCATGGCGTAGACTTATTATGCTCTCCGGAGTAGTTGTGCTTGAAAGCTCGCAGAATCGTAGATCAACTATCTTTGACGGTTACATGGTGATCTAACGATTAGAAATTCCCGATAGAATGATCTCGTAATGAAACCTTATATATTGTAATTAAAATTTGATAATATATTTTAATTAATAATTAAGGAAATGTTTAATGTTACATGAAATTACGTGGAAGATCAAGGTAGACTTTAGTGGGAGACTTTGATGTGATGATGTACGGGTGAAGAATTTTGTGGTGAGCAAAAATAAATAAATAAATAAAAGTTTAATAAGAAATTAAAGTGTGTATTGTGGTAATTGTGTTAATGTGGGATTATATATTTTATGTGAATAAAATGTAAAAAGATATAACATGAATATTTACAAAAAAATAAAGTGTTTAAAAAGAAATTGTGTTTTGTTCATTATATATTTATTTGGTTTAGTTTTTATATCTTAAAAAAAAAAATAGTTATATTATATGTACATGGAAGGATGGCAAATAAAATATTAATAAGTACATTAGAATAAAAATATAGTTACAGCAATTGGTACATGGAAGAAATAAGAAAAAAAAAAAGTTAAATTATAATTAATTCTAATTAGTTAAAAATAAAAAGTGGAAATTATCCTCATAAATTACCTACACAATAAATTGGACATAGATATGATATTTAATTGTATAATTATGAATTTTTGTTCATGTAGTATGACGGGTATACCTACTTAATTATTAGTTCGACTCACATAAGATTTTGTAATATAATTATACTATCTACTCAGTAACCACTATTTACTTATTGCTAATTACGAATAACATATTATTCTTACTCATTTCAATTTATATTTTTAAAACCCTTTTTTTAAATGCTTTTTATAGTTTAATTGATAGATAAATTATGTGCAAGTGAACTACTACTTAAAATAAGATTTTTACAATTTTTTTTCATTTGAAATTATGTTGTAAACAACTTATGATTTGAAATTATATTTTTCTATTGCTATAATTTATATTAATATTGTACTTCTTGAGAATTAAAGTCAACCCGTATTGAGAATCAAATTGGAGTACTGATGTAGAACGTGGTACAATCGAGAAGATACGAGATGCTCTCTCGAAGGAAGTTCACAAACTCAGATGAATTCTCAAAATTACTTACTAATCGAAAGTAACAATCCCAACCAAATAAATAAAGAGTACTAACCCTCTAAATATCTTGCCTAACAAGGTGCAAGATAATTATTTCAAATGTCTAAAAATAAAGAAGGAAATAATATATGAAGTTGAATAAAATAAATGCATTAAATTCGAAATCGATCGTATTTATTTAAAAAGACGATCACGGTCTCGTCTCCATCAAGACCTCTCCATGGAATCTCTCAATAAATTTTTTTAACTAGATACCGATAAAAAAATGGGCAGATATATCTCAAATGAAATAAATATATTAATTGCAATATTTGACTTTGTCAAATGCATAAAAATAAAATAAAATAAAAAATACATAAAAAATGTCTCCGTTGCTTTCGGAGATTCAAAGTAGCTGACCAAATACATTTTGAGATCGCAAGAAATTGCTGTCCAAAATTAGGGAAAAAAAAACCCAACAAAGTACAATACAGATACGGTCATCCATGGGAGATGGGTAGTGGGTTTTTGATGAATATCGGTTTCTGCTCGATTATCGGGGCCGAATTGTGGAGTTATTTCAAGTGCTAATGTTGGCGTGGGATATCGGGGCCCTAGTCGACAATAAAGTATTATTGAGATGGTTTAGTATAATGATTATAGCGGGCCGCATGAGAGCGTGGTGAAGAAGATTCAGGAGCTTCTTGGTCGTCTTTGAGTTTTGAAAATCCTTCATAGTTATAGAGAGGCTAATTTTGTGGCGGATTATTTGGCATCCTTGGCGGCACAGCCGCACAGGGCACGGGTAGTTTTCATCGGTGGGAGTCTCCTCCGCTGGGGCGGAAATTTGATTACATCACGACATGATCGTCGTGTCTTATTCTCGAAAGATTATTCTATAGCTTATGTAGGCTTTGCCTCCCTTTTTTGTAAAAAAAAAAAAAATACTGTCATCCATTCCGAATTTCCGACAAAGAAAAAAAATAGTCAATGGTTTTTATTAATAAAAAAAATGCTCATTAGTTTAAAAAAAAAAAAAAATTACAAAAAAAAATTGATTCGTATGGGTTGGTAGTTAGTGTGATCACATCTTATAAATAAATAGAAATGCTTCCCTACCACGGTGGGCACATGTTAATATGCCCACCGAGTAGGTGGCATCCACTCATTGTGCCCACCTACGCGGTGGACATATTAACATGTGCCCACTGTGGGTAGGTGAGCATTTCTCTATAAATAAATGCAAATTGGTCTCAAACTCTCAAATACTTACAGCTGTGGAGTAGTAAATTTCCTAGTAAGTTTAAGTCTTTTAATTTTAGAAAACGGGTGTCTTCTAATTTGATCTATATTACGAAAATGAAAATAAATTTGTGGGAAATGCTATGGTCCCGGGACCATTACGATTGGATTTGTAGCCGTTAGATCATTATGTAATCGTCTGAAATAGTCGATCTAACGGTTACAAATCTCGACATAATGGTTCCATAACAGGACCTATGATATAAGATCTACAATTTCAACCATAAACCAGCTGATGACAATTTACAGATCCAAAATTTCAACCATAAGAAGCTATAATCTTACATATATACGATGAATCTTGAAACTTTTATTCTCAATAAATAGAGCTAATGTCTAATGAAAAATATAAGATTAAAAAAAAAAAGAAATAAACAGAAACTAATTGACTCGAGTAAAATTAATTTAATCAACTAAAATGTCTCCCCTCAATTAAGACTTTTATGATCCAAATTATATGATTTTTCTCGAGCTACCTCGTCCTGGGGGACCCACCAGAGAGACAATTTCCACAAGACACATATTTCATCAATGCTTGGGGCTTTCTTGTTCTGATTTTCAAACGTGAAAGCTGCACATTTGGAAAAAAAAAAAGAAAAAAAACACATCAAGTTCTCACAAAAGAAAGGTAAAAGTATATACAAATATGTTCGAAAAAAATATGATTGTTTAACCGTTAGGCATGTCGAACAACAACGTGGCGAATATATCAACAAGACTAGCTAGTTATCTTCAAAAAGTTCACATCTTTGAAGATTTTTTTTTTCCCCCCTTTTTGCATGTTTAAGAATGGAGGACAATTTTGCACGATAGCTACAAACCGACGAGGCATTTGGAGTTTCAAAAATGCATACTTATGCTATGAAATGTCGTACTTTAATTTATGTTGTTTTTATGAATATGACATTTCAATTTGAAAAAATACAAATCTGTTGAAATATGGTTGTCTAACTGTTAAACGAACACTGTGATGAATACAACAAGACTAGCTAGTTATCTTCAAAAAGTTCACATCTTTGAAGATTTTTCTTTATTTTTTTCCCCTTTTTGCATGTCTAAGAAAGGAGGAGAATTTTGCACCATAGCTACAACACGAGGATGCGTTTGCAAGTTTCAAAAGATGATTCGTGTTTTCTTTTGTTAGACTAAATCTTTAGAGGTGGTTTTTCGTAAAGATTGCTAATGAAGATGGTACTGCACAAGTAGATACAAAACAATACATTCTATTCAGATTCAGCAGCAAAATGAAGATGTGTACGACTTTTCATAAAACTTCTGATGAAGATAAAATTCATAAAATCAAGAGTGTTTTGTGATCTACGACTTTTTACCTTTCGTCTGGTAGCTTTTGGCGGGTTCCAACAAAGCAGTCTCCTTGATCTCGGTTCTAATCTCCTGCAGAAAGTAAAAGAATAGTTATTAGATTCTCAAGGAAATAAATGATAAAAAACACCAAATATAGACAAAAACTTGTGCCAAAAACCCCTCAAGAACATGTTCTGTCAAACACAGCAAAAACTCAAACCTTTGTACTCCTATTTGTCATTTTTCAGGGTTCTAACTTCAGACTTCTGATTTCCGTAGGGGAATCATTTTCTGTTTACCGGGGTTCTTGTTTTTTTTTTTTCCTTTTCCTAAAATATTTTCAGTTATTTTGGATTTTTCAAGTGTTTTTTATTTCCCTGACAATTCATAAATTTTAACAGATTAATCGGACTCAAAAAACCGAACTATAACGTACAGATTTTCCTGCTCGAGCTTCTCGGCAATCGAGACCGCTTTCCTCCTTGACCAGCCACCGAGCTGCTGCGAACCTCCTCCCGGCTCTGCATGCTGAATCACGTGAGCCAGAGACACCTTGCTTCTAACTATGCTAAGACTCGGTGGATTTCCCTCACCTAACAAAGACGATATCTTCTGGCTCGTCGATGTCCCTTCCCCCGAACGTGAATTTACCATACTGCCCCTCCTCTCCCTCGTGATGATCTCTTGTTGTGGGGATGCTTCAAGCTCGACGATTTCTGTACGGCTGGGGCCCACATCCAGGCGGGTCGGGTTTTGGGCCCCCGGTAGCAAGATGGGTCTCGCGCTTGGGCCCGTTTTCGGTTCGCATCTGATCTCAATGGTCACAGGGGATTTCAGGACCGACTCGAATGCTTGTAAGACGTGCAGTCTAAACTTTTCGGCCTTCGATTTTGTCAGCTGGGAGGTAAAAAGCAGCTGCACATTGGGAGCTGCAAGAACGGTGTTTTTTTCCATTTCCATTATTCCGAAACTTTTAAGCGGGCCATTTTGTAATGACCCCTAAAGAAAAAAGATAAAATCTTTGAATAATTGAAAGGTGTTTTTTCCATTTCCATTATTCTGAAACTTTTCAGTGGGCCATTTTGTAATGACATCTAAAGAAAAGATCAAATCTTGAATAATTGGGGGGGCATAAAAGAAGAAAAAGTACCTGTGCCATAGCTGACCGAGATCAGTGTTCCTTCACGATACATAAACTCTCTCACAGTATTGATATGAATCTTTTGAAGAACTTGAAGCCAAATCTCCTCTATTTCTTCCTTACGAAAAACTCCCGGTAACTGATCATTAGTAGTTACTCGACTTCTATCGTGTCTATTTCCACTAAAAGTAGTACCTTTCGACATTTCAGCGTTGCTTTTCCTCGGTTTTCCCGAGGGGCTGTGATGAGAGCTAGTTTCGGCAGAGGAGCTTGGGAGAATGTATTGCTGATCGGGAGCCAACTGCAAAAGGGCTGCCGTTAGCCAAGTTATACGGTCATTTGATAGTCTCAGCTGCTTTTCGGCTTCGGATAGTGTTTTCAGGGCCTGGCGCAATTTTTCCATATCTTCTTTCGACACTGCAGATGATATATTCTTTTAGTCAATCGATAAAACGAAATGAATTCGGAGGTTATAATTTCTCTTCCAAATGCAAATGAACTTCCCAGTTATCCTATGAAATTAAAGTACCCCCTCTTGGGGAATGCTTGTTCAGATATAATCATTTCCCATTTTTCACAATTTGCGAAAAAAAAAAATTACTTATTGCTAAATCGAAACTCACGGGCATTACGCCGAAAGAATTTCCTTCTAGATCCTTCTTTCGCGAAATCATAGCTTCCAGCCAGAATATCAGTTATAACCGTTGCAAGCTGTGACATTAATGCCAATGGCTCGACACCAGATTCCATGATATCTCTCAGATTCTTCACCGTATTAACTGTGTCGGCAGATAATGCTAAATCTAGTAGGTCCACTAACTTCTCATATGATATAAGCCCAACCTGTATATAAAAGCAAAAAATAAAAAAAAAAATAAATAATAATAATAATAATAATAATAATAATAATAATAACTTTATCGACTTTCTGCATCAGGCAGCATCAGCATTTGCTAAGAGTTGAGTTAACAATTAAGTCCTCAAAAAAGAACACTTACCAATTCCTGTACAAGGCCAAGAGATATTCTCTTCCCGAGCAAACTCAGTTGTTCCAAAGTCATCTCAGCATCTCTCAGAGATCCATCTGACCTCAACGCGATAAGCTTTAAAGCATCCTTATCGATTTCCAAACCCTCCTTACTCGCAATCCACTGTAAAGTATAAATTACATCCGCCTCCTTCAACTTTGGGAAATAGAATTTCTGGCACCTGGATATTATCACGTGGGGCAAGGCCTCGAAGCTCGAGCATACAAGAACAAAAACAACCCTCCTTGGAGCCCGATCAATAGCCTTCAAAACTGCACTCCAACAATCAGAAGACAAAGTATCACACTCGTCGAATATCAACACCTTATACTGAGATCGAGACCGAGACCTGGTGGGGGCCACCATTTTTTCAAGAAGCTCGACCAATCTCTCGAAGTCAACATTGCTCACCGGGCCGATTTCCCTCACGTTTCGAGCCCTCGCACACGAGCTGCACAGCCCGCAGGGCTTCGGGTGCTCCAACGAGTGGCAGTTCAAAGCTCGGGCGAATATACGCGCGCATGAAGTTTTCCCCGTCCCGTGGGGCCCGTGGAAAAGATACATCAGCCCGATTTTCCTTTTTATAATAGCGTTCGAAAGAGCCTGCACGACTAAATTCTGGCCCACCAAATCCCGAAAAGTCCTCGGCATGTACTTCTGAGTGATATTTTGATGCCTCCCATTATTGTACTTCTTGAGCAGATTATCATCGGATGCAAGATCCGAGTCAATCTCATTCTTATTGAGCAGATTATCAGCATAAAGGCCTAATTCGCCCGAGTAATTGTGAAACCAGGTGGCGGCCCCACGATCACCACCACTCCCCTGAGATCCGTCGAGCAACAATGGCAATGCCTCTTGACCGTCAGATTTTTTCGTGGAGGACGAGCTCGAGTGTTGTGAAATTTCGAGCATATTCGAGCCATATTCTTTCCTTAACCTCGTCTCGGACATGCCACAAGAGAGACTCCTCCCGGCCATATCGAGTATCGATTTTCCTCTGTCGTGAATTCTCGACCAATTCCAAGGGATTTTTCCACACCCGTTGAGATTATTATCGTGATTTTCACCTTGGGCAAACGAGTTAGAGGCCACCGTTGACATCTCGTTCTGTGGCTCCCTACTAATATCCCGTTTATCAACCGAAGGAGCAGCACGAGGCCTTCTCGAGCCTCTAAACCTCCGCCTTTTCGGTCTATTAATATTATTTCGACCTTCCTCGGAATATTTTTCGATTCCAGCTTGATTTTTGTGATTACAGGACAAAGCCGCATGGTCGCTCTCATCTTCTGTCTTAAAACTCTTGTCTTTGCTGAGCTGTTGAGGGGAAGTTCCGGACATTCTCGGATTCCGGTCACCGGAAGATCCTCTACTTCCGGTGACCGGCTCGTTTTTTCCGGCCATCTTAGGAGAATGCGGGCTCGCGGAAGGGTCCCGTAAGGATCTCGATCGCTGAAGGAAAATGAGGTCCCGCATAAGGGCTCGATCGGCAACGATGGGACTGTGCTTCTTGTGCATGTGGTTCTTTAAGTGGATGCAGTTTGTTAGGTGTATGTGGTTGCGTAGATGGTCATGGATATTCCCGTTCACATCTTTGAGTATTCGGTCTCGGACGGCTCGGGTCATGATCAGAATGTAAATTGTTCGATGGAAAATTTTATCGAGTAAGAGCAAGGCATTTGAAGTATAGGGCTAGAGCTCCTAAGTTTTCATAAATAGGTATAACCCCCCAAATTTTCTCTACTAAAAAATCAAACAAAATCCAGACACTATAACAGTTCTAGTGATGAAAACCCAACAAAACAAAGCATACAAATCCTGCAAAAATGAAAATCAAGATTGCAGCTTTAGGGCATCAGAAACAGTACAGAGCAAGAACCAAAACAACCCACAACAAAACAAAGCATAAAAATTCCTGCAAAAGCTTTAGGGCATTTAGATATATTACAGAGCAAGAACCAAAACCACAAATATAATTACACCGCAAAAGACAAAAACTTTTTCCAAGTATAACATCACGGGAAAGAGCTGCCCAGAGCACAATTTGAACCAGAGAACAAAAAAATAAAAAATAAATAAATAAAGCTCTAATCTTTCTCAAACTGACTAAAAAGTGAAACCCTTCAACTTTTCACCAAGAAACTCACAAAAGCTTCGAGGGGTCACCGCTCAACATTGGTCTAAAATGGAAAACAGAGGAAAGGTAAAGAGAGACAACATTCACCTGAATCTTGGAGTTATCAGCAAGCGGCCCGTTGCCATCATAATTGAACTCTCTCTCTCTCTCTCTCTCTCTCTCTCTCTCTCTCTATCTCT